TATATCTATATGTGCATCAGACCAAGCTTTTAATAATTTTAGTACTTCAACAGGTAATATACAATGTCTTCATACTGACATACTGTGCGTCGGTGGTACAGTCGTTAGGACTCTCGCCGACCATGCACATGGTCCGAGGTTCGATCCCCTGCCGACGCACACGTGAAATCTATGGTCGGCCTGCAAAATTTGGGCTACCGATATCCATGCTGAAAATTCCATGCTTGTACCAAAAATACAGTGTGGAATCAAGCTGTAAATCAAAAAAATAAAATAATTCGGACAACAGGCAGGTCTAGCCAGAACATTACGAGGCCCCACTTTTAATGTCTGGTGCATTTCAGAGACCCACATTCAAGATTTCCATTGAAGTGCTTCGAATATCTTCTTCACTTGAAAGTTCGAATGGTGTGTACTGCCTGCACTTATTCGGACACCCTGTGGCGTTGATATCCGGCTTAGCTGGTGTCAGTGTTTCACTAAGCGCTAGTGCCGAAGCTGCATTAACATAATTTATGTTTTGTGAAGCTAGATTATACGAGAGTAGGAAGCGATCGGTCTGAGAGACGGTGCCTATTTATCACCTCTGTATATGCGCTAACGGATTACAACCACGATACAATTATGAGTGAGTTTTACCCTCAACTCACACTACCTCCTGCATGTTACGCTCGGATGCCCAACTCGTCATTTACCGTTCTGGTACCAGTTGAGGGTCTGTCTGGCTTGCTTTATCACTCAGTGGTTTCCTCAGAGTGTGTCTGATCCATCTCCCTTTCCTTCGGCATAATTGTTGGGCAGTAGGTTGTTGATTGGTTCGTTCCTGGAGTTCCCTGTGGTCATCTGATATTCAGTATGGAACGAGGGCAGCTGTTGACAAAAGTATGTAGCCTTTTGGAAATGCTTTTGGTGATGTGCCATTTCTGTGAGCCATATAGAAACAAGAGCTTGACGTTATCGTCGAAATTCCAGTTCTTGTGGTTTATGCTGATTGCAGCAGATTTCCACACTGGCTTCAGATTAATGTAGGTCTGTCTTGCTTTTCTGGTCCAGTTTGGATTGACGTCTTCATCTATGCCACCTGTAGTGTAGTTTAGACGTTGTTGCCTGGATAAGTGAAAAACGTGACTTCCTTCAGATTTCTCCTGTTAACGACGATTCGTGCTTGCTGTTGGTTAGGTATCTTCTTCACCTCCATCTTCTTTATAGTCACTTGAAGAAGTGGTGTCTTTGCTGTCTCTTTTACTATCTTGTTGGTTTTCACCTATAGGTCTTTGATTTTGTGTGACACTATATATGGTTAATTCTGGAATTTCAAATCTTCTAGAGTCTCCTTGTCGGGCCAACGTATTCCCACAGTCTACCGCATGATCCAGTGCGCACCATTGTCAGAAATACCATCGAGGATGGTAGTTGGCTTTTGTCTTACTGCTGTTTCACTTCAGTGGCTTTACTAAGTTTTGTGTTGTGAATCACTTGACATTTGGCATCTTCACAAAGCTGTTGAATTATGTTGAAAAGGGTTTGAGGCATTCCACAAGTGTTGAAGCAGTTTCCAAATTACTTCATAGTCAACGCTGTCGAAAGTCTTTTTAAAGTCGACGAACTGGATGTAGGGAGCTGTCTGTTATCGTATGCTTTGTTCAATAGTGATGCTTACCGTTGAGTTTTCATCCCTAGCTATTACTTTAATCGTGAATGTACATAGAGAACTAGTTTAGATGGGATATCCAGTGATTTGTTTTTCAACGGTTGTATTACTTATTTCATTTCATGAAGAAGTTCACTCTGAACTAGTTTTTATCCCGACAAAAGGATACAGGAAATCTAAAATAATATCAGATGTAAGCTGGTGAATGCTCTCGGTGTTTATCATCTTTGTACAGAAAACAGTAGAACTTATTAGCCATACAAAAATTCATATACATGACTGTGTATGCAGCTAGTAGGATAGTACAGATACTGTATTTCTGCAGGCTTAGATTTGAGCAGTTAGTCCAATGAATTATTTCTCTGTTAAACCCTGTCTACTTAGACATTAAGTGCATGGGAGGAGAGGGTTTCAGCGTTAGAACGCTCACCAATTACATACGTGGTCTGGGGGGTTCGATCTTCGGCCGACGCACTCCTAAACGTCGCCAAGCCAGTAAGTAGTAAGGCCGTTAAAAAAGGAGGGTTGAGCGTGAGACTAGCAACCCCACTCCGTAAAAATAAACACTCACTGCTACCGATACTTCAAAGCTGTAGCTTGAAGCCCTGTATTCCACTCAGAATGTAAAGGAGTTAAAATTACTATGACATATGGTTTTCACATCAGGATACTTCTTAATACGATATAATAAACTGCACTCCGTCATTTGAACTTATTTTTATCTACAATTTTCAAGAAATTCACACTTTTACCGTTTTGAACTAAAATCGATAGTTAAAACAATTAGTCCCTTGGATAAATTTGAACAAGGCATTAAGAAGACAAATTTCGCGAGATGATATCATTTCGTAGTTTCTTTACAACCGCTTTACAACTAACATGGTTAACAATGATAAAATAAAGTTCATGAAAATTACTCAGTTAAATAAAAACAAAAGTACATACTAATGACCAATCATATTTAGATAGGTCATGCAGTCCAGGGTAGGCGAAGATTGAAGTCAATTGACTTTTGTACACACAGTTTAGGCTGTATGTGATTAATCCAAAGTGCTTCCATCACCTACAATAACCCTGAATTAGAGTTATGTGAAATAATTGTGAAACAGTCATTAATATTTATTTTGTGACCAGACATTAATAAGTGTTTTGCAATGGATGATGCTGGATTTCTATTAAGATTAATCGCGTTAGGATTTTCGATATGATTTACTAGCCATTTTGGAATATGTTCTTTTCGACGACACCAGAAAAATGGTTTATCAGAAGAACACCACGCCGCACTTAAGGAATTAATCGAAAAAGATAATCTTGTGATCCTTAAACCTGATAAGGGAGAAGGCGTTGTCATTATGAACAAATCGGATTATCAAAATAAAATGAACGATATCCTCAAAGATCAGTCCAAATTTCTGCTGGACAATGCTACTGATAACGTGCTGCTTGTGGAAAAGCAGATCAATCGTCAGCTTCAGATTTTACTGATGCATGGTTTTATAAATGAAAAACTTTATAAACAACTTAAACCAATCGGGTCACATACTCCTCAGCTTTATGGTCTTCCGAAAATCCACAAAACTTGGAACCCACTGAGACCCACCTTAGACATGTCAAATTCTCCTTATCATAAAATCACCAAATGGATTACAGAGTTCCTTACACCTGTAAGAGACTCATTATCAAATCATTCTGTAAAAAGTTCATTTGATCTTACAGAAATTCTGGACACCTTGAACATTAAGGAAAAGGTTATGTGTTCAATTGACATAGAATCTTTATTCACCAATGTTCCCCTTCATGAAACTTGATTTTATTTGCGATTACATCACAAACAATGGCATAAACTTACCCATTCCCGTCACTTACATCAAAGACATAATCTTAATGTGCACAAAAAATATTAGATTCACATTCCAAGAAAAGGCATATAAACAAATCGATGGTGTTGCGATGGGGAGCCCTCTGGGGCCCCTGTTAGCAGATATATTTATGTCGAAATTAGAGAAACAAATGCAAGGTATGCTTGGAGGATTTATGCAGTATAAACGTTATGTAGGTGATACTCTTATTATTGGTAATAATAGTAAATCTATTGAAAACTTCATTACTCTATTTAATCATATTCATCCAAATATTCGAGTGACTTCCGAACTGGAATCGAATAACAAACACGGTTTCCTGGATATTGCTATGATTAGGAGAAACGATGGAACGTCGGTGGCACAGTGGTTAGGACTCTCGCCGACCATGCACATGGTCCGAGGTTCGAGCCCACGCCGACGCACACCTGATATCTATGGTCGGCCTGTAAAATTTGGGCTACCGATATCCACGCTGAAAATTCCATACTTGTACCAAAAATACAGTTTGGAATCAAGCTGTAATCCAAAAAAAAAAATCCAGCGCTTTATTTTTCGTAAACAAACATGGACTGGACAATATCTTCATTTTACCAGTTTTGTTCCTATCCAGTATAAACGTTCCCTAGTGAAATGTCTGTTCTCAAGGGCCCGAAAAATATGCACGAGTGACACACTGATGGATGAGCTTCGACATGTACATTCAGTTTTATTAGCTAATGGTTATCCGGAGAGCTTTTATCACTTGTCACAGCAAAGAAAAACCACATCTCGAAAAGACGGCTTCTGTAGCAAGGAAAGCCATCTTTATTAATCCAGCATCATCCATTGCAAAACACTTATTAATGTCTGGTCACAAAATAAATATTAATGACTGTTTCACAATTATTTCACATAACTCTAATTCAGGGTTATTGTAGGTGATGGAAGCACTTTGGATTAATCACATACAGCCTAAACTGTGTGTACAAAAGTCAATTGACTTCAATCTTCGCCTACCCTGGACTGCATGACCTATCTAAATATGATTGGTCATTAGTATGTACTTTTGTTTTTATTTAACTGAGTAATTTTCATGAACTTTATTTTATCATTGTTAACCATGTTAGTTGTAAAGCGGTTGTAAAGAAACTACGAAATGACATCATCTCGCGAAATGTCTTCTTAATGCCTTGCTCTAATATCGATAGATTGTGTTACAAGGGGGGGGAGGAGAAAATATTATACGACTTATTTAAGCCTCAATTCACTTATCACAAATGGCCTGCCTTGCTCTAGTTGCATCCGACACTGTACAGTTGTAATAAAGTTCTACACACACACGCATACAACTTGACATTCGTATTTATATAAATTATGGTTAACTGATGTTGTTATTATTATTTGTTTTCAAGAGTTTGGTTTGCAAGGGGGTTAGATTTGTTTATACAGGTTTCACCATGGATTGATATCAGTTATTGTTTGTTTGTTTGTTGTCTCCTATTAATTAGGAATGTACGCATGGAGCTTTACAGACGGGAATCGCACGAGCTATTGAACTGCTTCCTTATCTTATGAAATCAAAATGTACTACACCTGATCCATATGTGATACGTGATATAGAAATCCTAGAGTCTTATTCGCAGTCAAGTTTTTCTAGTTTTAGTACAAAACTTGCTAGTTATCTTTTTGGTAAAGTACAATTAAATCGATTATTAAATTGTAATATAGCTAATGGTAAACAATTTCGTCGGGTAATTTTAACACGTTCCACTGAACAACCTTCAAGATATTTACCTAATACTACTACTACTACTAATAATAATAATAATAATAGTAATAATGATAATAATCAACCATTATCTGATAGTGATTATTTAATAAATTCATCAAAATCGTCAACTAATGGACAACGTCGACGTTATCATAATTCATCGAAATCTTATTGGGGCATAGATGATGGAAGTTCTTGTAGATGCTGTACATATCCTAATGTTAAACGTACACGTGCTGAATTTCGACGAGGGAGAAGAAGTAGGAGAATTTCTTATGTTCGTGAAGAATCTGATACACCACAACCAGATACTCCAGTAATTAGAGCACAACGTGGAAGACTTCCAGGTAGACGTGGTCGTGCTGGTTTATCTGAAATTTCTAGAGCTCGTGTAAGTCATTTCAAACCTTGTTTTCCTATTCTCTTTATACTCATATATATATATATATATATATATATATATCAGATCTATTTTTATTCTTAAATATTGTTATATATCGCTATTGCAAAGGAGGCTAGTTTATAAATTGTTCAAAATCTCCCGTATAGACACAATTTCACTTCTTTAATATTATAAAGCATAAACTTGAATCTGGTAATTCTATTTATTTATTTATTTGCACTTCTCTTGATTCCCTAGTCAATTATCATGTTTTCTTCTTTCAGAGGTATTTCAGAGGTGGCAGGCCTAGGAGACAATATGAGACGACTAGCGGCACTACAAATGATACATCTCCATCAAATCCACCACCTAATTCAACTTCAAAAGGTCGGCGAGGTAGACCAAGAAAGTTTCAACCTCCTCCCCTACTTATGAAACAACTGGTACAAGTTGGAATGATGTACTGACTGAAGAAGATAGACAAGAAACAGTATTTCAGTTGACCAATTTACTCAATGAATTCCATTCTTCACAGCAAAAAAAGGATGGCTGTGTAAGTACCCACAATAGTCTTGTCAACGGTGATTCTTCTTCAAGAGAAGAACTTATTATTACTAATAAGAAGGATGTTCAACATCCCCTTATTGTAAGTTCACTGAATGTTTATTTATCAATCCTTGTAAGAATTTGCATGTGATATCGGAAAGTGATACAAGGTGTCTGTGTGATATCTAGCATCTGCTAGGTGGCGACCTACAGATGTATATTCAAAATATCACTGTGTAGCATAAATTATGAATTTCTGATCGGTCAAACCTTGATGAAAGCTCAGGTTAAAAAAAACTTTGGTATCCTGGCCGATGGCTGCTACTTTGGTGTGATGCTCAGTTTATCATAGTAAGCTCTACTATTCCAGAAAAGCCGAGTGGATTGCGGTAAGAAAAAACGTTACTGTCATAGTTTGGAGCCCTGAAGCAGAGGTCATACTGCTAAAAGAAAAGACATGGTATCGGTAAAGCGTTTGTTTTAGTTAACACACAGGGCATCTGTATTATTATCATTCTATAGGACTACTGGTCACTAAACTTGCATATCTCCACTTACCTTACATATGTCAGTACCAGCGGACAGCATTTTTGTGTGAGTAATACTGCAGAAACCTCGTTACTTCTGGATAGGCCTTGTATAGCAACTGTACAAAAGTAATTCTCTTTGCTTTCCAGGACTTGAAGAAACAAAATATAGTTAGTGGGAAAGTACTAATGAGACACACACACACACACACACACACGTACATCTTTCAGTGTACAAAACACATCTGTTTGTCATTACTTTTAGTTAGGAGAAGTCTGTCACTCAGTGGGCTAATGCATCTCTACAAACTAGTGTTTTGTAAGTATGTCTTAGGCGCCCGGAGTCGCGCCTCCTTCCTAGGCTGACAAAAATTATCAATTAATGTAGGATGAGTCTGTCCTACTGTTTAATGACTGTTTTTCACAGATTGTCAGACTTGGTTATTAGGAGTAGCAATCAGATATCGTATGGAAACATTTTGTTTCACTGGTTAGAGTGATTTCAGTTGAAAATCTCACTTTTATCTGCTTTCAAAAACTCAGTGTATACCTATCATGACCATCTGAATAGGGGTTACTTGATATGAGCGAAACTTTTGTATGACTTCAGTTCATTTCCGCTCAATTTGACTACTGTGAATCTCTTTGTATTCTTAAGTATGTTGATCGAAATCCATCGGTCGGCAAATCTACGTTATATGGGATCAGGGAACTCAGTTACCTTCACCACTAGTGCACATACGCAGTGCATTCATTTGGTTTTTATGCATATATGGGTGGAGTTGTGGCTCATTGGTTTTAGTTCGTCTACTTCCAACTACTGAATCACAGATTCCTGTCTCATTACACTGATCAAAGTTTCAACAGCCTCGAACACCAAGTACATAGAAATATAAGTGACTATTATTGAGTAACATCCATGTTTTCTACATATGTTATTTTTATATTGATTTATTCCTACATGTTAATGTTCGTCGGTGGTTCAGTAGTAGAGCGAGTACTGGCCGACCATGCACGTGGTACGGGGTTCCAGTGCCGGCTGGCGCACACCTTTACCTCCCTTAGGCTATTATAATCTCGACAAAAAGGGGAGGTTGGGCGTGAGGGTAGCAACCCCACCCCGTAAACAAAAACACCGCTGCTATTGCAACTTCAAAGTGAAGCCCTGTGTTCCACTGGGAACACAGAGGAATAGAAAAATATTAATGTCTCGCATAGCATTTAAAATAAACATATTTTGACATGACGTCAACCGGTTATTCACCAATATCAATTTCTTCTACGTATGTTTTTTTCTCTTATTCCTGTTTCTAGGATCTAACGGTGCAGAAGAATGTCAATGGTATAAAATAGGGTAAAATTGAAATTTACAAAATATAAACATATATTAGGTGTAAATGTTGTGGATGAGTGTGCGCGTGCGGATAGTATTACAATTGCCAATAAAACACTAGAATATCTCTTAACGCTATTGTTATTAGTACTATTGTTATTTTCTAGTTGCTGTTTTTATAAACAATTGTTTTTTGTTACCGTTATTATTATTATTGTTTCTTTGTTATCGATATTTTGCACTTGATGTTTGTTATTCTCAGGTTTTCCATTTTGTCTATTTTATATCTCAGTGTCTCTCACTCCCTCCATATCTTTGCATATACTCATGTTTGGTTCGGTTCATCTGCACATTCACTCAACTGACATAAAAAAAAACCATGATCACAAAACTGATATAAAAAGAAAAGAAAAGATATATCCATATAGTATTATTATTATTATATATCCATATACATTATCAGTAGATTTGTGTCAAAGATTTTGTATTTTATTATATTTGCTCAAGTGTATTACCATTATATATGTGTTGCATTCAAGATTACATATTAACTGGAAGACGGATTGTTTTGAATGTATGATAGTTGTGTTGGCGAGTGGATAGCGCGGTGTAGGAGGGAGATAGAATAATAATAATAATAAGGGCTTCAAATTAGCAGTCTAGTCTAATAGATGGAATAACAATCAGTAGCTGAAATTAGTGTAATTTATGAGATTTTATGACAATATTGTAACGCTTGTCAGCCTATTGTACGCGTGTTTAAAGATTCCCGTAGTATAATTCAAAACACATTCCCTGCGTTCATGTGCGTTTCAGTTGAAATATGTAAGGCTTTGAAATCGCAGTAGAGGCTGTTGTTGTTGTTGTCTTTACGATTAGGGTTTGCTAGTCGTCTCACACCCAGTAACCGCAAAACTATTTGTATACCAGGAATACTAGTATGATGGACAGATTAAGATGAGGTTGGAATTGAAGAATGGAATGGTAGGCGATTTAAGTGCACTGACAAAATGTGCAGGAGAGTGGGTTTATAACTTTCAATAACAAAAGGGAGCAAGATGCGAAGTTAAACACTGCTGACAACAGAAAGTCCACACAACATTCATCCAATCTCATTTCGATATAAGCAGGATTAGTCAACTGTTTAAGTGGTAGAGCTAAAAACTAAGCAGCATATATATATATATATATATATATATATATATATATATATATATAAAACTTTAGGTAAAATTCTTAAAAATGGGCATGTGATAACAAATTATGCCCGTTGTATGATCTTGTGGTGCCCATTAAAAACAAGACAGCGTAGAATATCTGATACACTGTGATGAATGTGAAGTCGACTACGTAGACCAAATTAATGGGATGGGTTTGATGTAGTACAAAATATCGAACAGTTGATGGCTTTAACTACACCTTTACTTGCCCACATTGGTAGGTGTTCTCGAGCGAGGAAAATCAAGTTCCTAGAGTAGCGGCCAGTGCAACTCGCTCCACGGTAACAAGCATGAAAAATAGACTCCCTACAGTTGTAGTTCACAGGAAGTGTTTAAAAGTGAAATTGCATGACAACGTACGAGAACAACCTTCAGAAGGACGCTTAACACAACCAGGTTATGGTGTTTATTCTTCGATTTACAAATACTGAGTTTGCAGATTAAAGAAAAGCTGACCAATTTTGGTTAATCCATGTATATTTATCAGCAAAGCTGTTCCTGTAGTGCCAGGTAAATCGAGAACTCCATCGCGGAATTTCCGAATACCACTCGATACAATTTTTAGATAAAGAACTAACCAAACTGAAAACTAGCTATATACTAGTTCACATAGTTACTACAAGACACAAGGTTTGGACAAACGAGTCTTTAAGGGCAATTACGGTATAAAATATAATCTTTCTCGTGCTCTGCGAATCTGACTTTTACTCACAGTGGAATTCATCTAAATAACCCAGATCTTTGGGTTCAAAGAAATTTTTATAGGCGCAGTTTTACCGTTGCTGTCCACTTGATATGTAATAATAATGATGATTTACGTTATTCGAAAAACAGTACTTGTGATACAGAATGGAATTTTCAGCATTAGTCACAATATTGCATCTAATTTCCTCAAATTACAAATAAAATTAATTACACAGGATATCTTCCATATTTACAATAGGGCTAATGTCAAAAACATGCAGCATATAGAATGGATATAATAATAATAATGATAACAGCTAAGGTAATAATAATACAAGTGAAAATTGCCGTGGGCTTGTTTCACACAGTATTGTCGATGTGGTATAAAAATCCTAGCATGTTTAAAAATATTGAATATAATGTTCTCTTTACATGATATGGTGAGGGGAAAAGCAAAGATTACAGTAGTCGTAGAGATAAGTTGGTGTTTGCAATTATGAGAGTAAAACAAAAAGGCAACAGGACCATAAATATAACAGAAGTAATAAAAGTAAAACTTGAAGGCATATTAGGATGGATGAAGGAAATTGTTTATTTACTAGATGAAGAAAGGTTAGTTGATTCTTGCCTGACACTATTTTCACCACATAAAATACGTGCCAAGTATGGTATCATAGAATTTTTATATTTAGACGTGTGAGCATACAGTTTTCTGAAGTTACTTCTTGTTCTACCTGAGGAGATGCAAGGTGAAAGCTGAGGGTAAAGTGGATGCTCCAAGTCAGACAAAATCCCTTTACCAAATTTATTGCACGAAGTCAAGTGTCCATCGAAAACGATGTTAACTATGTGGTTCACTGGGACACCACTCACCCTACTGACAGTCTTCAGTATTCTACGAATTGTGACATAATCCTTTTTAAGCAAACCAGGAAAGAATAAGGGTGAGCAATAAAGAAGAATAGGTAGGATGCAAGAGTTTATGAACTGTAAGAGGAGGGGTTGAGTTATACCCGAGTGTCTTAACTTCTTAATGTAAAATGTCAGGTGAAATATTTTACCGGAGATCGCTAAGACATCGGAAGACCAGGAGAGATCAGAAGAGAGAATGAGTCCAAGATGCTTAATTTATGATTTAATTCCTATATCATTGTCGTCAATCTTACAACTGTCACGAGAATCGATGACTTCTGTTAACTGTATTTTGCATCTTAAGCCGAAATTAACAGTTTGACATTTAGAAGGATTCAGTTTAAGACCGTTAGACTCAGACCATTTACTGACTCCTGTCAGAAAGCTATTTACTTTGGTACAATCTAGCTGGGAGTTGACAGCCATTGAAACTGTTAAATCATTAGTGTACTTCACGAAGTTTATTTCACCAGAGTGAGACAAGTCATGTAAGAAGAAAACAGAAAAGGAAAGAGGACAGTGCCTTGAGGGACACCAGCTTCAGTAGGCAGTGAAGTGGAAAACTTCCCTTTATATACGGTGTACTGCTTTCTTTCTGAGAAATGGGAATGTAACCAGTTAACAGCCCAACATTCTGTTAGACTTGCAGCAAGTTTATTTAATAGGATGTCCCTAGGGACCGAGTTAACAGCAGATGTATAGTCTAGGAAGGCACAACGAACAAATTTAGTCCCCTTGTCTAGACTGGAAGCAATGTTATGATATAAGACGGCAGCTGCATCTAAAGTGCTTCTACTGTGCTTAAAGGCAAATTGTTTAGGGTCGTTAAAGGACTTAAGCGAAGGTACAAGACTATGTAAAGGTAATTTCTCCATAGTTTTCAAAAAAGGAGAGGTAATAGCAATGGGTCTAAATTTGACGCATGCTCCAGTAGGTACAACTTTAATGTCCTTCCAAACGGCAGGCACAGTATTACTTGAAAAAGATTTATTAAATAGATCAGTGAGAGGGTGACACAGAATATCAGAACATTTAGCAAAAATAATACTAGGTACATAATCTGGACCTAAGCTCTGGGAAGGGTTTAGAGACTTGAGGCATTTTTGAACATCATTTGTGTTAAAACCTGGAAATGGGCTATTACTGACACTAGTGATGCTGGGAAGCATGGTATTTGAGGGAGAATAAATAAAAGATTTTTTAACAGTACATTGATCAAAAGAATACGGAATATTGTTTATCTGCTTACCACCAGTGATTTCCTTAAATAGTTTCCACTGTGTGTGTCGGTGGCATGAGTGTTAGGACGCTCCCCGATCATGCACATGGTCCGAGGTTCGATCCCCGACCGACGAACTCCTTTACCTCACTCAGCCGGGAATAATGCTAGTAAAGAGGAAAGCTTGGGCATGAGGATAGCAACCCCATCCTGTAAAATAAAAACTGCTACAGAAACTTCAAGCCGCTAGCTTGAAGCCCTATGTTCCACTGGGGAACGTGAAAGAAAAAAAATTACATTCAACCTCTGCATTTCAGAAATGATTAAGAAGTTAGTTCTTTTTATACAACTTTTATCTTTCATTTTATATAGTTTTCCCTTCACTCGACGAAGCTTTTATGTTGAGGGGATGAGAAACGGTCAAATTTGACGAATAGTGTCTCTTTTGGACAGCAGATTTCAGATGAGATGTAACATTAGAGATAGTGTCATAAAGTGCATCATCATTAAACAGATCCCATTTTGTGTCACTGAGCATGTTTCTAAGATGATGTACGTTCTCATTTGAGTAACATCTGTGAACAACTTTCTTGGACAAGTTTGAGAAGGCTTTACTGTGTAACTTTAATTAAATTTTAGGTTAAATTCGCACAATACAGTGACAAGAATTGAAGAGCGGTGCTCTTTTACGAGCTTCGTACATTCAAGAATCATTTATAAATACTTAGATTACTAGCTCACCCGTTTTCTAGCCGGTCCCAAGCCCGGATAAAGAGGGAGGGTTGGGGCGTGGTGCTAGCAACCCCACCCCCGTGAAACAACCAAATCGCTACAGAAACTTCAAAGAATAAATGTATTAAAAATTCTAAAAACATAAGCAATAGCCTTACTTTTCGCTGGAATCGGGGAAGTGAAATGACACAGGCTGGCGAAAGCCTTCGGGAAGCCAGTCAGCCGATGTGCCTCCTTTCAATGAAAGCAAAAGTAAGGATGGGTACCTGGAATGTTCGTACAATGTACGAAACTGGAAAGGCTTCCCAGATAGCTGCTGAAATGAGAAGGTACAGAATAGAAGTGTTGGGAATCTGCGAAAGCAGATGGAACGGAACTGGAAGGTGCCAACTACCTACTGGAGAGACAGTAATCTTTTCCGGCCACCCAGAGGACAACCATGAGCACACCGAGGGAGTGGCCATCATGATGTCACCAACAGCACCCAAATCTCTCATGCAGTGGGAACCAATCTCCTCCAGGATAATGACAGCCAGGTTCAACTCAAAAGGAAGGAAAGTTACAGTCATTCAATGTCAATGCTATGCGCCTACAAACGTCTCAGAACAAGAGAAGGAGGAGGCGTTCTACAGACAACTACAAGCAATAATGGACAACGTCCCGAATGGCGATATCAAAATCCTGATGGGCGACATGAATGGGAAGCTGGGCGGAGACAACACAGGAAGAGAACTCACCATGGGTCGTGAGGCCCTCGGCAAAATGAACGACAATGGTGAACTCTTCTCAGACTTCTGCGCCTTCAATGATTTGGTGATTGGTGGAAGTGTGTTCAAACACAAGGATATACACAAGACGACATGGATTTCACCAGATGGAAACACCAAAAACCAAATAGACTTCATCTCAAATTTCAAGAAAGTGGAGACGGAGCCTACTGGACACAAGGTCGAGGACAGGAGCAGATGTGGGTTCAGACCACTATCTAGTACAAGGGACTTTCAAGTTGAAACTAAAAGTCTCGAGGATAGCTGGGGAT